ATAATAATAATAATAATAATAATAATAATAATAATAATAATAATAATAACAATAACAATAACAATAATAATAATAATAATAATAATAATAATAATAATAATAATAATAATAATAATAATAATAATAAGGAAGGAGATAGTAATGATACCGTAGTGAATTAGGTAACATAATAATGAATGTAAATAACATAATAGTTTGTGTTGATAATATAATACTAAACGGGATCCAGTCAAGTCTTCCCAATTGACTAATATTGAATATAATTATAACTAACCTATGAACTTGATTTAGAAATTATCTAAATTATCTTAGCATAAGATTCTAGCTTCACTAGGACAAAAGATTTATTGTATATTACTGTAATTCAGCAAAGATTGCATAGCGCCATCTAACGAGTGATATTGTGAGATTGTGTATTAATTGTAGACTTGCACAAGCCTATTGGAGCACTTCTAGTATTATTATTGGTCTATTATTTTACAAATACATGCTGTTTACTTCGTTGTACATAGATCCTTTTCACGTTTTCGTACTTTTTTTTAATGAATGTGGAATAACGCACCCGAGTGTGTATGCGCCGCCGACGCACAGGCGTATTGTTTCAAATAAATTGTATCATAAGTTTTGTTATTGTATCGCTATCTTTTGTACTCCTATGACATCTTGTGTTACAGAACTTAGCGAAACATGACTACGCCTAATGCATGTCATGTTTATGTCGAGCCATACAATATGACAATAAATCAGGTGACAATCAAATATAAGGAATCACCATCGGCAATGCTGAGAACAGGCCCATAACCAGCTTTTGTAAGGGTCTAGGGGGTTCTCCCGAAAAATATTGAAAACCATGACCGCCACCTTAAATTTAAATGCTATTCTGGTGTATTTGAGCTGCTTTCAAAGGAGTTACCATTTTCGTGAATAAATTTTGTATCGATTTGATATGCAGTGGTGGATCCAGGAATTCAAATTAGAGGGGCCTAGGTAGGAACTTTCACAACCTATGGGGAAACTAGACCACCTCAGCCCCACCATGGTTGGGGCTAAATTTACGATTTTGGCACCTCTACTGTAGATGGCCGGAAATGGCACTCTCAAACCTAAATTCGATTATAATTTTTCCTTCTTTCTCTATTTTTTTTTTTTTTTTACAATTTTGAAAAATTTCGTTTTCAATTGAATTTATTTAGGCCTAACCGCATGCGCACATCATAATACAAAGGTGATGACTTGAATTGTAAAAATAATGATTAAAACGATGTTTATTGGATCAACTTTATGTATCATTTGTCAATGCTCCAGTGCAACAAAAAAAAAAAAAAAAAAAAAAAGGGAAAAAAGTCCCAAAAATAGTAAGAAAGTATTGGCCTACCGTGCCTACAAACTATGCATGTCATAGTTTTTAATAAGGCCAAGGCGCACATATTAAACTAATATTAACTATACAATTATTTCTATAGTCTAGTAGATCGGAACTCCTTATACTGTGACGGGAAGAGAGGGAGGGGATCGTCCGACCCCCCTGATTACGGACATGGACAATGTAGGCCTATGTGATTGGTTGTTGTTCAATTAAATTCAATTTTATTGCACAATTCCACATATCATTTTTAAGATCAACAAAAGACACTTAGGCCTAGATGACTTTTCAGGCATGCCTTTGCCCGGACCAATGTATTTATGTTTCGACTTTTAATCACTTTCCCATTCTTTGGGATAAGCTCCCGTTGGAACTCCGTGATGCAGCGCTTTTTAATTTTAACTCTTTTAGTAAGCTGCTCAGGGAACACGGGTGTCCCGAAAGCTCAGACCACGAAAGCTAGGACCTAAGACCACGAGATATCAAACCCACTCGAAATATCAGACCCCGCAAATTAAGACCCTCAACTAAGTATGCCAGGATTTCTAGACAATACCTTTATTCGAAAGCTAACGTCAATATAAAGAACTGACTAATCATAAAATAAACACGATTAAGTATCATTGATAACAGCTAGGATCCTATTTGCGACGTTTACTGGAGAAAACTAATACAGTACTGTATCCGATATTATGGTTCTCGATCGTTTTCACTCTTTATATTTTTGGGATAGTTTGTTCTTCTTTTTACATTCACCTTACCTTTCTTTTCTTGCTTCTTTTTTGTTTTATAGGGGCCTATTCGGTTTCAAAATATTATATAATAAAAAAGATAAAATTACTAAAAGCATAGAACATAAAACCAGGACCAGTGGTGGATCCAGCGAAGGGGATGGGGGCATGAGGGCCCGTCCCCCCACCCCCAATTCAGTCAAGCTGAAAATTTTGAGTTAAAGAGAGGAAAATTGTACCCATGAGTTAAGTGGCGATCCAGCAGTGGAATGAAATGATAGCTCGATTATTTTCCACTTTACACCAACCATGGTGGGGTTAAGGTGGGCGTGGAGGCGAGAACATAATATTGTTCCCCCCCCCCTCAGAAAATCTCTGGATCCGCCCCAGAGGACTTGGACATGACGCTTAGACCTTGTTTATTTGCACCTTATAAATCGACCTATTATTATTATCATCATTATCATTATTATTATTATTATTATTATTATTATTATTATTATTATTATTATTATTATTATTATTATTATTATTATTATTATTATTATTATCATTATTATTATTATTATTATTATTATTATTATTATTATTATTATTATTATTATTAATATTATTATTATTATTACTATTATTAATATTATTATCGAGAAGGATCGAGAATCACAATACAGTATATATCAGATATTCGCACGATGTGCATTAGTAGCCTGTACACTAACAACGGTTTTTCTGTACTGTATTTGTTTTCTCCAGTAAACGTCGCAAATAGGGGCCTAGCTGGTACATGGAGTTATTATTATCAAAATAATTATAACTCCCGGATCCATGGCTGGTATCGATATTATACTTACTGGTGTTTATTTCATGATTAGTCAGTTCTATATATTGATGTTAGCTTTCGAATAAAGGTATTATTGTCTGTAAATCCTGGCAAACTTAGTTGAGGGTCTTAATTTGCGGGGTCTGACATTTCGAGTGGGTCTGATATCTCGTGGTCTTAGGTCTTAGCTTTCGTGGTCTGAGCTTTCGGGACACCCCAGGGAACACTGTTATAACCATAACTTTTAATGCCTGTCCATTATCTTGCTTGAGCATGTCTGGATACCGAGTCTCTTGAGTGTCTTGTCGTTTATTGTATCTGATTTTATTTTTGTATATAAAAGTTACCTAAAAAAATCCCCCAAAAAACATAAATATATTTCTTAATAATAATAATAATGATGCCTTTAAATAATGGTATTTGAAATGATCATTTTTTTCTATATTGTAATTTAAATCATTATACCAGTACTGCATATTTATAACGGATAAGTTGCCAGTCAAATAACAGCGGCTAACTTTCCACGTTTCACATGAATCAAGACGTTCTCGAAAGTATATTCATTTTTATGGCTAGAGGATAGGGATTTAAATACAAAATTGGATGAGACCCACGAAGAGACTACGTACAAAAATGAATAATATCATACAATTGCATGAATGTGATTGGTATCGTTTTGAATAGAAATGCTCCTCTGTTGACATTGGTAGTCTTATTATGTCCTCAATTTAAATGAAACTTGAATTGATAATATTATTATAATAGTAGGCCTATTATAATTATTATAGGCCTTGATACACAACTTCCAATTCTGAACACTTCTGACAGAGATCTCAGTAAACATTTTAACATTACTCTAATTTACATGTTCATTTTATTACTTGGTTCACAATAATATGTAGGCCTAAATTGTATCATACTAGTGTTAACTGACTAGGCATATAAGTAAGTCATGTATTGTGTCCATCATTTTTGTCTTGAACTAAAAAAATTTGAAATATTGAATCACAGTAGCTTGTATGATATCGGTGTTAACTGTCTTGTGTCAAACTTGCAATCTAAACAGATAGCTCGATCCCTTAACAAATCGCGCATTCTTAATGCTTAGCAAGTTGGTTGTTTGATGTGGCCATGGAAGAATTAATTTAAACTTATTCCTCCATGATGTGGCCAAGATTTGCAACACATAGCGATTGGGGGAATACAAAGATTAGCACCCGTAAATGCACTCATCTTCTTTGGTTCGTGAATGTCGATTTGCGATACCTTGCCTATGACATAATGTTACTCGAACGGAATACGTAACGAATGAACTACAGGTAATTGGGAGGTGTAATTAGAATGAAGCTGAGTGTGAGTAGAGGAGTTGACTGAGACACATGTTCCCACACTCACTATCGATGGGTCTCGAATTGGAGGGTGACCTGTACTTATTAAGACGTCGTAAGCAAAAATAAGGTTCTAACGGGAGCGTGTGTCAACTGCTTGACATGTTTCTAACTCATCCATACTTTCTGTTTTGGCAATTTACTAGAATAATTGTAAAAGTATATACTAGATTGTTGTGACATTTTAGTAAACTTTCTGGGACAGGTCTTATCTAGCAGCTTTCTGTTGTCAATTCAATGGATAACTTACTGTAACTAGGACAGTTCTTATCTCGTATGGCGTCATATTGTAAACTTGCTTTTCATTTCTATCTTTAGCGTATAAACCATCCCATCATTCCTCCACCCGCTTTACTCTTACAAGTTCAACTGCCAGACGACAGCGAAGTGTCTACTACTCCATGGGGCAGTAGACACAACAACAACAACAACAACAAAACCAAGCAGACAGACTAAAACAAGTCATGAAAACGAATGTGTATAGAACAATACTTTACGTAAGTATACGATTGTGATCAGGTATGATACTGATAAGTGCTTTATTTTGTTCGGACAGACAATGAGTCGTACATTGTACCACGTTCACCTTTTCATGACAAGTCTTGGCAAACGAATAATCATATATAGAACTGTTATCTTTACAAGTTTACTCGGGAGTTCACTATTAATGCTTTATAATTCATCATTAAAAACAATTCTGTTCTTGGCCCATATTTTATCTTTAAATTTGTTTTTATATATTTATTCGCATTGTAATTTTTGCTCTCTCTTTCATTGTTGTTGTTTTATTTATGACGAAAATAAATGTCTTTTGAATTGAATTGAATTGAATTGAAATGTATCATGGTGGAGATACAAGTTTAAACATGTATTTTATTTTCTTGATATTTAATGTAGTGCTATCACTTTTTCTATTTTGTTTTGGCATGGTGTTTTCTGGGGGTCTGGAGGTTCAAGCGCCTTGGTGGTGTGCAAGGGGATACACGGAGGCAAGGGGATACAACGGTAAAAACCTTTGTAGAGCTATCGCCATATAACAAGTTGCTAGATAAATTTGTCCTACCGTGCCTCACATTATACTCTACACCCTTGACACGTCACACACACACACGCACGCACTTTATTTACAAGTCCACAGGTCGTTAACCCCACGTTTGAACTTGGTAGTATTAAAATTCTGTACAATTAAATGACGCTTACATATCTACTAAAAGAAACTAAAGTTCAATTACGTCACTAAAACAAACTGACCGCCAAACTTACAATACAAACTAATCACTATATGAAAAGCAGTCGATTTTATAACGGAAACAGATAACGAAACAGATAACCAAAACTAACATAATATTTTACATCTAAACGACATAGATAAACATAAATTACTAAAGCATTACATTGTTATGTTAAGTCTACAATTTATACATTTTCTTTATTCATTTTATTTAACATCATAAATATCGAACACAAGAAAACAAACGCAAAAGGACGGGATCCGCAGACTCGAGGTCCAAACCTGAATGAAAAATATTCATTACATCAAAATACACATTCACTCATGTTGATGCTAATAATAACTTAAATATATAGGCCTACATAATATATTAGAAATAAATATTTATACAGTAGAACAAATTAAAATTATATAGTAATGAAACTAAATAAATCAAGTGGGATTATGTTTTGTTTCTCTTTATGATATATAAATGGTAGCAGACACCCGTGCCCCCCCCCCTCCCGACATCAGTCAAGCCGAAAAATAAAGAAGAGGGTGACAAATTTGAGTTAAAGAGAGGAAGAGCTAAAGAAAAGAGTGCACCGATGAGTTTAGTGGCGATACAGCAGTGGGCGAAAGGATAGCTCGATTATTTACAGCCACTTATTGGTGGGGCTGAGGTGGGCGTGGCGGCGTGAACTTCATATTGTGCCCCCACCCCCGTCAGAAAATCTCTGGATCCGCCCCTGTGTCAATAATTAGCTTAATTGTTAAAAATTTGAAACTCTGAAATAAAAGATGAATGAAATGAATTAATGAATGCAATAATCAGATACATGGTAATCAATAGTATTATACTGTTATAACTGACTAAATCAGGATGGAAATCATGGGGAAGAGCAAGAGCTGCAGCAAATGCCGTAGCCAGCTATTTGGACAGTTGGGACATTCCTACACTATTGGAACGGTTGGGACAATCCCACACTATCAAAAATAGTAACTAAGCCAGCCTATATTAATGCATTGTTCACTCTCACCACTATTTCTATTTATTGTAGTATTGCATGGAAGTCTTATTGTCAAAGAACCATATATTACTTGCGTAAGTTATAGTTGGTATGCCAATTGACTTCCAGAGAATATCGCCATACTGTAGTATATTCTATTAAAGTCATCATGTTCGTTAATGATGTTTACCGTATCATGTTTTATGAGTTTGACCGGGGTTTGACAGACAGCCAACCTCAGAGGTTTGTGTACATCCGTGTTGAATATTTACAGAGCACAGTTATCATTTTTTTTATTTGTTTTCTGTTCGTCATAATATTTGTTAATGTTTCACCTTTATTTCCCCATGGGGTCTACGGTACCTCTATAAATACTCCGTATGAAAGGAACATTCATATTCATTGCTCGGACGTTACAAGACAAGCAGGCTATCTCATAATAGGTCATACGACGGGACACTTTATGCCTATAAGCAACAAATTTTAATTGTTATACAGTATTACACTTGTGTAGTAGAAGTGGGTAAGTTAATATCACTGGCAGCTCTTTACCTGTCTCTTATACACATCTAGATGTGTATAAGAGACAGATAACATTATGCTCTGTTTTACCATATTATATTTTCCATTTTCTGTTTATATTCTTTATTTTGACCAAAATACTATTTGTTTAGAAGCCATCCCCAATGCAATCGGCATACCGTGGAAACGTGCATGATCTATCAATTTCTCATTATATATATAATTAATTATATATATAATTTTGTTAAATAATGAAAGTAGGCCTACATTTGGCGTCTCATACCAAAGTGCTGTATGTAATCTCCGTGATAATAATAATAACTTTATTGTTTCGCTTTTGTAACAGAGGCACACTCGCAAAGAGATGTGCAACAATAAATCACAATAAAGAGTAATAACAACATGTACATTTGATTTGCTATAGACATTTCTTACTTAAATAATACACTGTGTAATTAATACTTTGAATTGTTCATTTAACTAATAACGAAAAAAAATTATAATATGCATCCCAAGAAATGAAACACAGGCCACCGCGCTCTACACCGTTCACGCCATTTCCAGGAATTCCTGACGAAGCGCGACCAATGCCGAACTCGACGGTGCGCATTCCTTCTCCCAGAGAATGCATTACACTTTATCTGAATAAACTGAAAATATATATAAATGAAATTAAAAAATAAATAATAATAATTTTTTTCTCTTCCCCAATTCCCCTTCTCTCCTCCTCTTTTTTCTTCTTTTCTTCCCCACTCCCCCACCCCCACTTTCTTTATTTTCTCCTCTTCTCCTCTTCTTCCCTTTATCCTTCTTCTTTTCCGTTTTCTTTTCTAACAAATTTATTTATTCCCATGCATGTTGCTGTCCCTTTCTAATAAATACTTTTCCGTTTTTGGTTATTTTTTATATCTTAAATAATTTTCTAATGTTGATTTAGCTTGAGTATTATTAAACCATTTTATGTTATCTTGTATTATAATTTTCTCTTTAATGTATTTGAGCCATTTTGTGTTACAATCAATATTAAAATGCCTTTCTAACTCAAACTTATTCAAGGGGATTTAAATATTTTGCAGCCATTTCCAACTTATATTATTTTGTAGTGCAAAGAGAGCTCTCAAAAGTAAACGTGGTCAACGATGCTCTTCCTTATTTTGAAGTCTGTGAAAATATGTTAATATTCTTTCTGTCCGTATGTATTCTATTGTCTGCCACCCTAGTTCACCATAGAGAGCTTCTTTTGCAACATATCTGGGTGCCTTTAATAAGAATCTAGCCATTTGGTATTGAATATTTTCAATTTTTTGCATGGAAGTCTTATTGTCAAAGAACCATATATTACTTGCGTAAGTTATAGTTGGTATGCCAATTGACTTCCAGAGAATATCGCCATACTGTAGTATATTCTATTAAAGTCATCATGTTCGTTAATGATGTTTACCGTATCATGTTTTATGAGTTTGACCGGGGTTTGACAAACAGCCAACCTCAGAGGTTTGTGTACATCCGTGTTAAATATTTACAGAGCACAGTTATCATTTTTTTAAAATTTGTTTTCTATTCGTCATAATATTTGTTAATGTTTTACTTTTATTTCCCCATGGGGTCTACAGTACCTCTATAAATACTCCGTATGAAACGAACATTCATATTCATTGCTCGGACGTTGCAAGACAAGCAGGCTATCTCATAATAGGTCATACGACGGGACACTTTATGCCTATAAACAACAACTTTTAATTGTTATACAGTATTACACTTGTGTAGTAGAAGTGGGTAAGTTAATATCACTGGCAGCTCTTTACTAGTGACCAGATTTGTAATCGGCCTAAAAAATAAACAGCCAAAAGTTATTATGAGCTGACTAATTAATGTTAAGCAATCGTAGAATCAATGCCGTAGTCTAAATTATGCTGTTTTATAGACAAAATAAGTCCACTTTTTGAAAAATGGGTCAAATTGTCTTATTTTTTGCGTAAAATGGGTCAACTTTTAGGAAAATGGGTCCTGATTTTTCATATATTTGCGTAAAATGGGTCAACTTTGAAGAAAATGGGTCCACATAATTTGAATTTACACGTAAATTGGGTCCCCCCTGATATTTTCCCGCACTGTTTGAAAATCCTGGCTACGGCGTTGCTTAGAATAACAGAGTTTAGATTATAAACGGTTAATCGTTGGGTACATTCAAAACAAAAGCAAAAAAATGAATTATAAAGGTCGTTCGTTGACGTTCGTAGGCATGTATACTGTGGAAGGCTCTATAATTATATTTAATGGTGAATAGTCAAAATCCTACCGGTACGCATCAGAAATTGTATAACTCGGGCACCATTTCTGTATGTTTACATTATAATGTATAATTTCAAGATAATTTATCTTGGAAAGACGGAATTCCAAGATTTAATTACGTCTTTCCAAGATAAGCTATCTTGGAATTCCGTCTTTACAAGATAAATTATCTTGGAATTCCGTCTCATGGCCGGCGGGGGGGGGGGAAAGGGAATATATAATGTCTGGAGATTTTTGTATGAATGGAAATGCAAGAAAAGAAGGAGGGAAGAAGGAGGAGAAGGATGGGAAAGAGAATGTTTATCCAGTACCCAACCGAGTTACATTTTCTCGCAATTCACATTGGCGGATATGGGGGAGGGGGTCATGGGTCCTGACCCCTCCCTTGGGCAACAAAAAAAAAAGGGGGAAAAGAAAAAGAATTCTAAACCTACCTTTTCAGGACCCGTGAGCTGATTTTTTTAAGTAATTAAAAGACAACTCAGAAGTCGGGAAAGCTCATTTCCCGCCTTTTGGAAATCAAAATTTTCCTGGGGGAGAACCCCCGGACCCCCCTTTCTTTTTGGGATTTATCGAAAAAAATCGTATGCAACTACTCAATTTTTTTGTGTAGGCCTATGTATACACACATAAGGCCTATCTACTGTAATAACAATGGGAAAAATTTACCTGACCGTTTTGAAGAGGGGAAAACCTTGAATTTTGAAGAACTTTTAAAGTCACTAAAAGATACTTCAGAAGTCGGGAAAGCTCATTTCCAACCATTTAGAAATCAACATCTTCCCGAGAAGAACCTGAACCTCCCTTTTCACTTTGGGTTCACTGATTCATTATAATAATTTTTAAGAGGGGAAAACCTTGAATTTTGAAGAATTTAAAGTAATTAAAAGACACCTCAGAAGTCGGGAAAACTCATTTCCCGCCTTCTAGGAATCAAAATTTTCCCGGGGGAGGAACCCCCACCCCCTTTCTTTTTGTGATTCATCGATTCATGGAAAATTCGTATGCCACTACTCATTTTTTTTTAATGTTACCGGTATTTGTGTATAGACACATAAGGTCTTTACTGTAATAACAATGGGAACAAATTACCTGACCGTTGTTAAGAGGGGAAAACCTTGAATTTTGAAAAACTTAAAAGTAATTAAGACACCTCAGTAGTCGGGGAAAAGCTCATTTTCCGCCATCTAGGATTGACCACCGCCCCCCCCCCCTTTTCTTTGGAGCTTATCGATTAATTGAAAAAAGAATACGATATGCAACTACTCATTTTCTTAAGGTATACTGTAATGAGAAAGTTTACCTTACCGTTTTCAAGAGGGGGAAACCTTGAATTTTGAAGAACAAAGTCATTAGACACCTAGCTCAAAAGTCGAGAAAGGTCATTTCCAGCCATCTAGAAATCTAAATTTTCCCGGGGGAGGAATGTTGATCCCACCACCTGGTTTGATTCCCGATCTGCATGATTCATATTGCCATTCATCTTATAAGTGCCCCCACCCCACTTTAAAAAAACCTTCCGCCGGCCCTGCGTCTTTCCAAGATAAATTATCTTGGAATTCCATCTTTCCAAGATAGTTATGTTGGAATGTCGTCTTCCAAGATAAATTATCTTGAAAAGACGTCTTTCCAAGATAAATTATCTGGGAAATCCGTCTTTCCGAGATAAATTATGTTTATTCCATTTTTCCAAGGTAATTATCTTGAAAACGCGGAAGGCCACTTTATGCTTCCGTACTACATTCATGTCAGTAGTTTAATACTCTAAAGTCTTTTTCTTCTTCTTTCTTAGATATTATAAAAATCTGTCTCCGTGTATTGACATCTAATAATGTCTAAGGTAAGTCTGTGAGATCATTATCCGTCCATGCTTGTCGTAATTGTTGGCCTGGCTGCAACAATACGGGGTAGTTGTTTTGATTGGTTAGCATACTATAAGCTTGCATTTTTAAATGATGTTTAAAAATAGCCATAAGCATATCATGACTTAATTCATAATATCGTAATATCGTGACATACGTAGTGTGTTGTAAACGAGCGGGGTAGGCCTACTCTTGAGTGAAAAAGACAGTGCCTATTTTTACGTTATCGACCAGTTTGTTAAAATCCAGTTTGCCTATAGTTCAGGCCCATCTTGCTGAAACTCAGATTGCCGAATTCAGTTAAGTTCACCAAAACCATGACAACCCAGTTTGCCGAAAAACAGTTTGCCTAATCTTGCTGTCATTGTCGTACAGAAGTACAGCATACTATGCTTTTGGGTGGGTCAGGGAGGAGCGACGGATGCGTACGCACACCCCCACCCCATTACCAAAGTTCCACATTTTCAAGGGGTATAACATGCAAAACTCACTCTCGCACATTTTAGAAATCCATCTACCTAACCTTCTTGACTATAATCAGTGCAGTTTCAACTAGGACCGCCTCTATTTCGTCGCACAAGCAAGACTGTTAACTGTATTTATATAGAAACTTGAGTGTTTTTCCCGACACTTGCGTGTCAATGATTCACCAGTAGCGGATCCAGAAATTCGAAATAGAGGGGAGGAAGTTTCACAGATGGAGGGTCCACCCACCTCAGCCTCACTATTGGTTTTGGCTAAGGTAAGAAAAATTATGATTATGGTACAGCACACGGTCGAAAATGGCACTCTGAGACTTAAAATTTGAATATAATTTAATTTTTTCTTTCCTAATTGTTTTTTTTTTATTTTAAAATATTCACCCATCCTTAAATACGCCACTGTTCAAAACATCCTGAATTTGAATATAATTTTCTTTTTTCTTTCCTAATTTTTTTTTTTTTCTTAAATATTCACCCACCCTTAAATACGCCACTGTTCAAACCATCTTGATACAGCAAGCGCGGATTTGGACCTTCGCATCGGTCGCCATGGCATATGCCAGACTGGTTAGAGCAAGAAATAATATAATTATAGTACCGTAAATGCTCGAATAAGCACCGCTCTCGAATAAGCGCCGCGGCGCTTAATTAAGAGTTTATTATTACCCTGTGTGTAATAAAACACTTTGAGAAACATGGTTTTAAATACAATGAATACAGTGTTAATGAATAAATAACACAATGAAGACACAAGCATTTCTCTATAATAAACGTTTATTTACGAAGACGTAGACAGTACGTAACAGTGTCGAAACCTTTAAATTCATTAAAAGATTTTGAAATTTGTTTGTTAGGTAGATAGGCCTATACGTACTCTGCATCTCTGATATGTACTCTGCATCTCTCTGTTTCAGTCAGTTACCGATCAAAATGTTTAAAAACATTGTTTATATAAATTTTAGTCTGGTTTAGGTATGCCAACTCCTACAGTGACATGCCTGATCACCTTTATTGTGACCTGAAATCCAACATCACTGATGGCTTTTACTTTGGTATGATCTTTAACTAATCGACAAAAAAAAAGTTCTTTACGGTCGGCTATGATATTCTTTTCTAGATACCACGTGGAGGGCGTTTTCTGACACTAATGCCGTGTCAGGTGTTATTCCTGCCGTCACGGTCAATTAAACATGTTACACAACATGTCGTCACGGTCAATTAAACATGTTACACAACATGCGCGAAGACTGACAGAAGTTGACATGGCATTGTATGAGTCTATTATAACAACAAGTTATAACACCATCTCATAGTATGCATTTAGGCCTATTCAAGTTATAAATGCTTTTTTGAGTCAGGCGTTCGACCGTGATATAGATATAAGCCAAACGATATCAGGCCGCTTTGTGGAGAGCGTTTTTTCTGTGACTAATGCCGAGCAAAGATATTCGTGCCGTCGGATTAGTCAAACATGTTACAAAACATGCGAAGACTGACAGAAGTTGATATGCGACTGACAGCAGGCATTGTATGAGTCTATTATAAGTTAACCAACAACAAGTCATAACGCCCTCTTATTCTGTGAATTCATAAGTTATAATTGTTTCTTTGAGTCAGTGATTTATGATCTGTACCTGTCTTGGTCCCAGGATACGAATCACTTTTTAATACATTTCTAAAGTAACTGAATTACCTCCGTGCATGTTTTTTTTTTTTGTTTTTTTTTTTGTTTTTTTTTATGGATGTTCTATTTTTTTTTGTTTAAAATATGTTTTTGTATTGTAGTGTATCTTTTTAAAATTATATTATTTAACAATTATTGTTGTCTTGTATATTATAGTGATGTTTCCGGTAGGTTTATTTTTAAGTAGGCCTAGTATAATTGACAACAATCCACTTTTGCGCTTGGTTACTTCCGCGGTAGTGACGACATCTGTATGAGGCATGAAATCAACCGAATAGCAAAGGTGTACTGTAAATTTTTTTAAATCATGGTCAAACCCTGTTTGCTAAGTAATTTCTTTGAGAATAATTTAAAACTACTGTAATTCAAAAGTACTGTACTATATAACTGAATTTTATGTTATATTTTAATTATTAACAGATATAATATTAAATATGAATATAACAATATATACACATGGAATTTAAACAAGGTTGAACTATATTGTAAGGTCCAGGAGAGGAATATTGCATGGAATGTAGTATAGTGAAATACAGTAGATAAGCTTGATGATGAAGTTATCTACAAAGTGTTCGTTAAAGACTCTTATTGCACATGGTAAAAATGAGTATTTATGACGGTTGGTACGTTTTAAAGTTGGAATTATTCTGCCAGATTTACTAATTGTTATGAACTTGTTAAGTGGGTGAGTTTGGTCCTTCGCTATGTCCTTAATTTTATTAAGTACCGGTAAGGCACCTTCACATAAACAACTTAAGTCATTAACCTCCATACCTATTATTTTACTTGCTGACCGTGTTAGCTCCTGAGACACTTCAGAGTCTTTTTAGAAAAGTAAAAGAGCATCAGTACCAACATTAAAATGTTTAAGTTTACGTAAGTAATATAGTCTTTGGTTCACCTTTGATCTAAGTTTAAGTGTGCTAGTGTTCCATTTTAAGTTATCATCTAGCCAAACTCCAAGGGCTTATATTCACTAGTCTTATCAACTACTTTGTATTTTAACATTAAAGGATCTTTGGCTGTGTTCTTCTTTCGAAAATCAAATATAATTTCTTTCGTTTTCTTGATATTAAGGCATATAAGTAATTTTCATCACACCATTGTTCAAGGCGTTTTACCTCACTCCTATATACATTTTCATCGCCATTTGAAAGTAAACCTATGTAATGCATGCGCATGAGTGTAAAGGAAATAGATATTCGAATTTGAATTCTCAACAAAGCCTCAATGGCCGCAGATGGGTTAAGGCGTTTGCATAGAGAGCAGAAGTTCCCGGGTTCGAATCCCGGTTTCTTCAACGTTTAGAAAATAGTTTATAGGCCTATATCAGCATTATCAATGGTTTATATAGGCCTATATTTACAGCATTACCACAAGATGATTTAGAGTTTTCTGTAACATTTCATTATTCAATAATATAATATGGCATGGAAAGTAGTATATCTACTCAATTGCCTTGAAACGCTATCTTTCGTAAATATATAATAATAGTAATAATAATAATAATAATAATAATAATAATAATAATAAATAATAATAATAATAATAATAATAATAATAATAATAATAATAATAATAATAATAATAATAATAATAATAATAATAATAATAATAATTGTATGTCGTTCTTATATAGCGCTCTAAGCACTACCCGGTCATTGGATCAAACACATTGAACAACACCAAATTAAATTATTAAATTAAATTACACAGTATTATTATTCCATAATATTGCAGTAATCAGCGCAGTTGTGTTGGAACCTACCAGGTACCCACTTGTACTCCTGGGTGGAGAGACCGTAGCCCAAGGACACAAGCGATTTTGCTCAGCGAGAGTTTCGAACCCCCGACCTCGAGGTTGGGAGTCCTTGCCACAACCGATTAAATATATACATTTACATTTACAAATACATACATACATTTTTGGTCATCGCGCTTCATCAGATTTAATAATAAAAGAAAAAACAAAACCGTTTTGAACACCAAACTGTAGTTGTACATTGCAAACAGGGACTCCACTCAATTGCCTTGAAATGCTATCTTTTGTAAAAATTCTTTTTAGTACTTGTCTAGTTTTTTTTTAATCACGAAATTATATAAATTAATTAATTAACTCGTGCCATATTTTCATTGTAATCCGTAGGTTCTGATTATTTTTCAAGTTCTTTTCGTGACTGTAGTCACGACATCTGCTGAGATGGAACCGTGCAATTTGACAGCGCACTCATGGAAGACGTGTATTTCAAACGTAAACTCCATTACAAAATCCGGCGAAACCACCCTTAAATATTCCATAGAGATTAGCGAAGATCGAGTCGGTCCACTGGTCTGTTGTAAAGCATTGACTTGTCAAGAACATAGTTGTAAATATACTGCAATTGGTTGTTCGTACCGTTCGTTCGAGGACCAAGTTTTATGGAAGAATGATAAGGCTACACCTAAAATCAGATGTCATTCAATAGGGGATATGCTTTTATCGTGGCAACACGCTTAAACTACCGTTAATGAATGTCGATAGGCCTGCTAAAGACGGGCTTGTATATCCCTGATTGCTCGTCTTCTGGTATCAGGGAAGGGTTATGAAACGAGGTGGGTGTGCTGGAATGAACTCCTTCTTATATATTTACCCGATGATATGCTGAATTAGTAATAAAAATACATATATTATACACCAATCTCTAAATTTAAGCCTATTGCAGTAGGCATATTTTTCAAATTAATAGTTAATTCTTACAGCGATAATAGGCCTATCTTAATATATTGTATTGTACTTTATCGACTTTATCGAACAATGCTATTACCAAGTCTATTACCTAAGTATTATGTACATTGATATACATTAATCTCTTTACTTACCGACTTGAGATGAAAGTTTTTTTATTCGTTTAAAGAGCTTGCTCATCTGTCGTGGATTATGTCACTTTTTTTGGCAACCCAGGGATGTCAGTTTTGCACTCCTTCACGTTTTAAATTTTGTATTTATTTTCACAAAATTTGAGAAATCTGAATTGAATCACCGAAATCACTACAACAAAACCGCATCCAAATAATGCCGTGCTTTTCCGTCAGCTTGGCATAGGCCTATATTATTATTATTATTATTCGGATTATGCAATTAGATCGTTCAGACTCAAGGCAACAATAGTATTATAGATTGTTGGTGTGGTTTAGTTTCATGGTCGTGGGCTTTTCTATCACAAAAAACAAATCCACTTCTCTAGTCCTATAAAGAATCCATGCCTAGTTACAAGAAATTTAGCTGGATAGGTGAGTGCAAAATAGGACGCATCGACACCATAATGAAGGGTAACCAGGATCCAAAATATTTCTTGAAGGCTTACGTGGTGAATATCAATAACAAAATAAGGTAAAACCAATTAGTGATTTTACCTAAAAAACATATATTTAAACATGGTGTACAGAAAGTTTTATGATTTTGTTAAAATTGATCCACCATATAAAATTATGTGTTTGCGGAAAGTTGTGTTAAGTTTTCGCCGCACGACGTTAACCTTAACGTTAACGGATGACGCCATAATGCATTCATCTTGCGTTGCGGAGTACGTTAATTTTAGAATTTTACATGCTCGACGTAGGTTAGTTACGGGTTTGCATGCATATTTCGATTTGTTTACAAAAGGGGCGAAACCAAGCCATAGATAGAAAGAGTTGCGACATTGAGAATTTAGAAGCCATTCTGTGTCAAACGCGATGCGTGTTCTGTGTCCATCGCGATGTACGTTCTTGTGTATAATTATTATGGTATAATACAATTATCGGCCTCCTGTAGTTTAATTTAATCTTTTTAGCAGAAGTTCATATAACTATATTCATAGATATTTTTTTTAATGATTTCACTACTTTATATCCAATTTCATATTATATTGTAATAATTTACTATTTTTAACCAGTACTTTAGTCCTTGTCGATAGACGGAGAGCCCCTCGATGGCAAGCATTCGTCAATTAGGCAATCTTGCCATATAGACCCTTAAAGTGGCTCCTGTTATTTTGGTAGAAAATAATGATATATGACGACCAGCAAAAATTAATTAAATATGTCTATCAAAATGTAATTAAGATTTGTTACTCATTTATAATATTTCCGATTAAATCTATGTTGTTCATGTTATTTAATTTGTGTGGGAAAACGATAATAAAACAACAAAATATCCTCGTATTTTTCCTTGAATTATTGTGCAAACAAAAACAGCAAGTGATTTTCGAAATCATAATCAAATAAACAAATGATATCATACTAAAGGTTTCTTTGCCAAAAATCACTCCTATTATTACTATTATTATTATTATTATTATTATTTATAGTAATAAGTATTAAAATAATATATATCAAGTGGGCAGCATCATTTTCGTTCACAAATTGAGAGTAGGCCTGCACCGAATTATCACCATCAGAAGGTGTTTTAAAAGTAAAGCAATCCTTTGTCTCCTTAACTACCGTACGTCTTGTTACCGTCGTTTTTTCCTATCTGCTTTATTAAAAACAGTGTCTGCAGTCCAATATTGAACAGCCAGTATAATTACTTTTAGTCTTGGCCGGCATTACCTATTCATTGATCCGTAAATAGGGTATAGATTGTTGTTCTTTAAAACATAATGATACGTACAATTAATAGTAAACTAGCTGGTAAGGCCTGCCCTGTGTGTGCCGACCCAACTGAGAATCGTGAGTCGTAAAACGTATGTGAGATTTTCATAATATAGGCATAGGTTACTATGTTTTCGTACCTAAACGAATTAAATTGTTTATATATAATGCAACAATAATATTGAATATTTTTTATTGGCAATAATAACTGATAATTTATCGTTTTACAATTTTTCTATCGGTAAGTTTAAAATAGGCCTATAATTCTATTCTTTTCATATAAAGAAATGTTGAAAATCACGTCACAAGTTCAGGATTCGATGTTTCTTTCCTATTCTTTTTCCTATTCTTCTTTTAAAATATTTAATACTAAATTAATAAACATAAGCACTAAGCCTAGCCTACCTGGAATGTTTATTGTGTACTCAGTTAAACACAATTCAATTTCTAAATTCAAAGCCTGGCTGGTCCCGCCACTCGAAAGCTACCACTGGACTTTCTACTACGATCGAATATCTTGTTATGGAGCAAGAAATCTTGTTGTTCCTACCCATTGCACCTGATTATATCGATGGAAAAGCTTCCGATAGCCATGGCTGAATTAAGGTCCTTGGCTGATTTTCCTGAATAAAACTATTATGGATTGCAGTGGCGGATTTAGGAGGGGGGGGGGGCTAGCCTGCCCGGGTCTCCCTAAATTTATCAACAATTTCTCGAATATAAAGAGGTTTTTAGCAACTGAAATTTCATTAATACATTGGGCATATAATTATGCATGACATGTGGTCTACTGTTACACAATTAATTTTTGAGCCTAAGTCTATGAATTTTGAGCCATCCTAGTATGGTAATGTATGTAATGTTTATAATTGAAAAAATAATAATAAGGTAAACATTAACGATTAAGAACAAAGCGACTTTTTTTTTGTGAAGATCATTTAATTTTCAGTAGACCTAGAAACTGAACACGCCTCTATGTATGCTATTTGTAACTAAAACGAAGTGATTAACCAAGTCTGTCAGTGTCACGCAATAAAAGTGCTTTTTGGTCGGAGAGAAAAACCACAATTCGTGGGGAAAAAATATACATCAGGGGTGTATCCAGGATTTTTTTCTTGGTGGGGTCGTGATAATAATTTTTTGGACCTTTTCAGTGGGAGATAGGAAAATCCATTACAGCGCCACCAGCTTGAAGCGGATGGCAGGCTCAGTTTCAGAATTGCTGAATATGTCACGCAATTGGCAAGGTCTATGGACTCATTCCTGGTACCTCAACAATGCTTTTTCATTTAGGTCATTGTGAAAAGGCCCTAGAAAAAATGTCTTTGGAAAAAATGTGGACCTTTGAACATTTTTGGTGGGGTCGTACGACCTTCCCAGAGCCACCCTTGCATACACCCTTGACAGTGCAACTGTCACATTATCGCGACCTAGCACTGCGACCGTACCGACCTGCGGTCGTATCCGACTGGAAGTAGGACTTGCCCTCTTGTCATTTTATTGGCGGAAAGTAATAATGGCCACTTTAGCCAAATGATTACGACACGTACGTGTGAGAGCGACTACGATTATAGTGACGACCAGTACCGACCACAATAATAAGGTAAACATTAACAATTAAGAACAAAGCGACTTTTGCGACCATGCACGACCTCTGCCTTGTCACGAGCAAGTATCACGACCTGGCCACGACGGTGTCGGTCGTGTACCGATCGCAGTGTAGGTCTTGATAGTGTGAGAGTAGCTCGGCTGACGGTCGTGCGACCACCGTACGACGCAATGAGTGCCTCGTTTTACACACTGATTTTAAATATTACAAAGCTTCACTGATGTGGAAAACCGAAAAAAAAAAAGGAACACAAGTTAGAACGCCTTGCTTATTACGAAAAACAGAGAATGTAGACAACAGTAGGAGTAAGTTACTGTATAAATTTCCCACCATTCAAGTAGTCGGCCAATCGCAATTCGGTAAGTGACAAAATGTGGCGCCATTACAATTAGGCCTATGGGATGGATACTATTATTATAACTAATGACTTCTATTTGTCAAGGTACAGTTGAAGTCATGAATAGTTGAGTGTATATAATACGCTTATACGCACTTAATTCACCAGTTAGGCTATTAAGTACCTCCGAAGTAGTTATCATAAATAATAGTTGTGCCTTTTCTGATACGGTCAGCGATAGAGAATTATGTAAAAAGGCGAGTTAAATTTGCCTTTACACTATTGATGAATTCGCACTTGGAAATAGCAATCAGCTTTAATGGATTACAGACACACCTTTTGCTTACTACTGATACTCAGTATTTTAAAAGGTAGGTATTTTAAGAGTATAATATCTGTATACTAGATTACTCTGTTATTTAGACTATTTAGGCTGGGAACCCAAACTTTAACCCTGGTAAACGTGACAATCCAAAACTTTGTTCAAGCCACTGGCCTAATTAAGCTAATTAAGTTGTACGGTCGTACAACCATCGTACGATTAATCAAATTCCGCTCCCTCCGAGCGGTACCGGTACACAACGCAACGAAGATGATTGTTGGTAGCGGTATGAACGGATCGTCATTAAAAAACGATCGTGACGATCGTTGCGCGCGCGCCTTGGCGTTTTCTTCTCCATGGAACCGCGTCGGTGCAGTGAGTACCCGGCGGATTTAAGCTACATTTACACTAGACACGATAACGACATATCATCGAGTCGTTTATATAAATATATTCTATATTTGTTTTGTCTCATAAACAAAATCACTAATACATCTTACCTCATATAGCAAGTGTTACAGGCGCATGTATCGCTTGACACACTCGCCTTAACAGGCAGAGATCGCTGGTTGAATTCCCCCCTGAGGATTTTTTTAAAAAACAATTTATAATAAACTTTTTCCTTGATAGGCTATGCCCGAAACGATCTTTACATCAATACTTTTTTGTTACAGCACTGTTTCTACCAGTATTTCATTATCTATATGCATATTCCCCGATATTATAGCAATACATCTTATGTCTGTAAATGTGTTAATCAGATATTTTATTTTAATGAGACTTATCCAATGTAGCTTTAATACACTCATTCTGTTTCGACCGTTATGTTGTGTATTACATATTTATGACTTTCCTGTTTAGTACTCAAAACTGTACGCTCTGTAATAGACAAAAGATTTTTTAAGATATTGAAAACTGCTTAGTGAATAAACAGGGATGATGCAAATATTAATATTGACTAGAGGGTGCGCTCAGTTCGCTCACTTACCCTCTACTATGTTAAAAATCACGATTAGTTTTGATACGATAGAACAATTATTTATAACTACTAAAACAAGTTTGGCCTAATTACAGACGGAAATACACCAACTTCTACTGAAATTTATCACTGAGCTTAGACCCCCTAAGGTTCAGGTTACCGTATTTTTCCTAGACAGCTATAGCTTAGGCCTACTGATTCATTATTTTTACAACCGAGTAACGTGACCAAAATTCTTCATCCTTGTCATTTGCTTGAAATTTCACAGCTGTTTTTAGCTGAGACCTATAGGCGTATTTTGTGGTTGCTAGAGACTGGGGAACATTTTTTGGGTCCCAGTCGCCAATTCTTGCCTTCTAAATGTTTTTAACGACGAAATAAATGATACGATATTAGTGGTAGATCCAAGAATTTGAAATAGAGGGGGCCGGCCCAGGGACGAAATTTCATAGAAGAACGGTCACCCCCTCAGCACCACGGCTGGGGACGAGGTAACAACATTTATGATTATGGCACCTAGCAGATGCCCGAAATAGCACTCATTAGACATAAAAATTCGAATATAATTTTCTTGTTATCTCCATTAAAAAAAAATTATTTTTGAAAAAACTTCCTGTAATCTGTCACTGGATATAATATGACATATAGGCCTACCATAAAACCTCGAATTGAAGCATTGGGCTTCTTTTTTTTGGCGAACTTTGGATGGGCTTTTTTCGAGATGGGCTTCTTTTCGAGGCTACTTTTGCAAATTAAGAGAAGGGGTGGGGGACTTCTTTTCAAAATGAATGCTGTAAATTTTGGAAATTACTACTGTGGCGTCGCATGTACTCTCGCACACACTTGGGAGACTAAATAAGACACAACTCGCCTTTGATTTCCAACAATACTAACACGTTTATTGAGTTTAAACGGAACTTAACCTGGAGAGGGCGCTACTCATACAAATAGGCAGTGCAGAGCCCGTATTGTCATATTAACCCCCACCCCCTCCCCGCCTTCAAAAGCAAGTTCCACCGAGCTAAAAGATAGGTACCAATTTTTACTTAGGCCTTTCTAAGTGCTAATGAAACATCAATATTGTAAACCATACTTCGAAAACAAATGAAAATAATTCTTAATTTATAGTGTGATTTCAAATTCACATAATTATACCTAGCCTGGGTTTCAGGTCCTAATTTTGGATTACTCACTTTTATTGCGCTCATTGCGCGTCATACCTAATTTATTTGGCTTCCCATACTCGACGCAGGGTTCCCGGAACGCCGCCCTCACCGCCTTCACAACTCAAATAGACCTTTCAGGCCGTCAATCAAACTTCAAGTAACCAATCAGAACAAGTCATATACGCGCTGTTTACAAAAACACGTTTTCCACACAAACTACTATATAGCCTGGTTCTCATGAGAGCCCTAGTATCCGGATCGGGAGCTAACCGTTAGCATCTGCGTGAGAACGCCCGATCGGTTAGGGCTAACCGTTAGCGGTATCCGGATACCGCTAACGGTTAGCAAGCGCTATCTGTTAGCAAGTTGGGCGTGTTTATATCATCATCACACTTATTGGCCAGTGATTCGATCATCATATTTTTGGTATCCGGATCGGGATTTTCTCGAATGGACGGCAGCTAACGGTTAGCAGGATCCGGATCCTGCTAACCGAAAAGGCCCTGTCACATAGTAGCGAATAGACCTAACGTATGCCGAGCGTTCTCATTTTTTTTCCAAGTCCTGACGCGATACGCTCAAATACCCTAAATTTTTTGGCAAAAAAATAACATTTTTGCGTGAAAGACGAACGCCCAACGAATGAGAAACGAATGCTCATCGTACAACTTGCGTCCATTTAACGAATGACATCGCGTTCGCAGCGTTCGCCCAACGAATGTTCAGCGTACACAACGAATGCCCAGCGAATGTCACACGTATGCCTAACGTATTGACGCCTTGTAAACGTTGATGTAGGTCGGTATACGCTGGCCATTCGTTACTCATTAGTTAGACAAACGCTATGAATACGTTATGCATTTGCTATGGCAAGGTTTCAGATGGGATTGAACGTGTTTGGACGAACAACGGACGAACAGAAAACGTAAACCCAACGTGCACCCAACGTGCGAAACTTTCAAACAACGAATGCTCACCTCATACATAGCGTATGTAGCAGAACGTTGTCATACGTTCGAAATTTAGAACATGTCCAAAAATTAAAATCGACCCCAGCGTACCCCAACGAACAGCTAACGAATACAACGTATGCCAAACGTATTACGAACGTGTCACGAACGAATCATCAACTTACGCGAACGTAAACCAATATTTTGATAAACGTCGGCATACGTTGGTTCTATACGCTACAGTGTGACAAGGGCTTTAACAAAACCCTTTTCCAAAGCCAAGAAAAAAAAAGAAGAGAAAGAAAATTCAAACAAAAGGGTAGGATTTCATTTATTTAAGTTAAGAGAGGCCTACAATAATCGGGTCGCATCGGGATTGGCCTAGCCATAGGCCTAGACCTATTCTGATGTCGATCTTCTCCAATGCCTAGGCCTCTAAGCCTAAGGCCTAGGCCTACATCTTAAGATAGGAAGTGGATATATTTACTTGATCGTAAACAAAGTAAACGATATATCTACGTGAAATAAATATCGTTCACTCCATCGAAATTAGCGTCGGCCCAAGCCGCGGTACGCAAGCCTACAACGGCACAGATTTTATTAAATAAAAGCCTAATTTTGTTTTTATTAAACTTAATTTAGTTTCCTACGTAGTTTAATCATTAAATATATTATTAAATCAGGGAGTTGTTATCTAATAACAACTCCCTGATTAAATCTCTGTGTTAACTTTTCAAATAAAAGTGATATTATCAGCTGGAAATATTTTTGTTCTTCCAGTGTCCTTTTACTTGCGCCATATGTTGAATGAACACACTTGGCAAATACAATATTACTAGGCCTACGCCAAAGAAAGCATGAAGGTTCCCTGCTCAAACACTCAATTACCTCAAAATCAAAACGATATTCTCTAGGCTAAACCTGTAATGTTGTATCGTATTACGATAGTCAATCATCAAATTATAAAGGTCAAACCCTGTCGTAAACTACAAAAATTCATTCAACCAATTCAAGAATGATTCCCCATGTGCTTTGCCGTCGACTCGATCGTGTGTTGTTGAATTAAATGGTTTTGTTTTTTTAAAGAGCAGAAACTTCTTTGTTTGTACAAAAAAATGTTTGGTCAAGTTAATATAATAACATGACTATAAACACTTACACGTTTGGGGGATTTGATTTACGTATGGCTACCATGGATTCATGGAAACCAAAGATAATAAATAGCAGAAGATAGAACTTCCCAATATAGTTGAACATCCGGTCCAAAGGCATTGTGGGTACACGGAGAGCAATTTTACCCCGGCCGCGCGGCGGCGCTATATATAGAAATAATAAACAACAATAAAGGCGCCGCTCTTGTTCGTTTGTTTCCTGTGTTTCTCCCATAGTTTTTCCACTTAGTAAAATCATGGAGGTATTATTGAGAAGGAGATCACTCCGCAACAGATCCCTTTGACGCAACAAACCAATGTGTTCCCCGCCTTTGGATCGCGCGCGGGCGTATTACCCTATAATTCACAATTTTTCGTTAGCAACAACTTGGCAACGACATGCATTTATACGTTTCAGCACAGCAGTTGTGCAATAAAGCGTTCGATTTTAACCATTAAATATCTTTATAATGAACAATGTTCTTCTGATTGGATTTTTTCGTAAAATTCCGTAAAATATTTCTGTTAAAATTATCTGTGTTCATTATAATTTTGTCTAAAGATTGATTGGTTCGACTATAGAGCTAAGGCAGCGTAAAACTGAAACAGATATTGACCTGTCTCTTATACACATCTAGATGTGTATAAGAGACAGGTGCGTAGACGTCCCCTACCAGATTTGAGAAACCAAAACAAATATAATATCACAGAATGTAAGTTAGGAGTCATGAGTAGATTTTTCATGATTAAAAAATGGTAACTGTAGGCCTACAGGGGTTTGGTATACAGGAGTTTGTGCTGAAGTTTGTTACCTCTTGTATTGTAAACTTGAATAGGCCTATTAATTATTAAGAAAAGTAAATGAAGAGAATAAGTTGGCAGCATTAGATGTGCAATATAAAAAATAATTGTAAAATAAAGAAGAATAAATGTTTGATGTTGAAAATTTTCATAGATTATCCATAACATTGAGAACATATTACAACGATTACTAAATTAATTATATAGCAATATCCAGTATAACCATGGAGGAATTCTAATTCCTCCATGGTATAATACTCTAATTCCTCCATGGTCTAATACTCTAAGAAGAACCCTGTATATGACATGTGGTACAGCATGCGCTGATATCCAGTATAATATAATACTCTAAGAAGAACCCTGTATGACACGTGGTACAGCATGCGCTGATATCCAGTATATAACACTCTAAGAACCCTGTATATGACGTGTGGTAAAGCATGCGATGATGTCCAGTATATAATACTCTAAGAAGAACCCTGTGACAGGTAGTACAGCATGCTCTGATATCCACTATAATATAACACTCTAAGCAGAACCCTCTATATGACATGTGGTACAGCATGCGCTGATATCCAGTATAATTAAAGCTTTGTCTATACTATCAAATTTCATCGAAAAAAGCATCACATAAAATTTGATTGAACATAGAGTTGAACACGTTCAACTTATTATTTTGATACAATTTGATGACATGTGATATATCATCGTACCCATATATGGGCACCATCACATCACATTTTTTTTGTCACATGAAGTTTGATAGTGTAGACAAAGCTTAAGAAGACTAGTAGACTTTACTTGACGCATTGTTCCCGGAACGCCGCCGTCGGCGACGTGTGCGAAGTCAGAAGTGTAACATGAAATTTGGATTTGGTTTTGTAGTCAGATTTTGATTTGAGAGAAAAACTTCAGCTACCCGTATTTCTTGACCGTGAAGTCAGTGGGAGCTGTAATTTGTATAGCAAGGTAGATGGTGCTACTCTTAATTCGTATTATGGAATTTACGCCCACAAACCTAGTAGTTATTAATATTTTTGTTATAATAGAACATTTTTATTTTTTGGTGACGTCACACTCACAATATAGTTAATATGCATACGTCATAAGATTACGTCATCTTTCCTGGTAAGGCAAACTTTCCCGGCGTGCTTTTGTCATGGATAAACGCCACTGCTTTGCACATGGATGGATGCCTTGCCTAGCTAGGGCAAAGAGTATATAAGGCTAGGGCTACAATAGCCGCATTATTAGCATTATAATACTTAAACAAGGTACGTCTGCAACTGAAATATTCTTATTTATTTTTTTTTCTTACTTTAATTTATTTTTCGAAAGTGTACTTTCTATCACATAATTGCACTGTCTACTTAGGCCTGGGCCTAGACTTACTACACCGTCCCTCGCTACACAGTACACTAGGCAACGGAACGTGATATTGCACCTTCCTTCCCAGGTGTTCATGTAACATTTGCATATTGTTAGCTAACCTGCTGCGTGTATTCCTTTGTGAAAAGGAGTTCCGCGGCGTACTCATTTTCACAAAGCATTTGCATCCCCTCATGACAGCCATCTTGAAACACACAGATCAGTCACGTTTCTCAATAAAGATACTTGTCATTGTTATACTGTCTCCATCTCAGTCATTTCATGCTTCATATTTATGGAACGCCAAAAGGGCAACCTTGAACACTTCAACGATTATACAAACAGTACCAACGAATACACAGGCACTCCAATGAATGTACAAGCACTCCAATGAATATTGAAACACTCCAACGAATATA